AATTTGTCAGGCTCTTCAGCTAATTTCCTGGTTGGAGTTTTTGGGGTGTGGGATCCTCAGAATTTGGTGAATCGCTGTGAAAATCAGCCATCACTATTTCGGCATAAGATGGTGCATTTTTCTTGCACAGTGGGTGAAAAGCTTGGAGATTGAATCTTTTTCGCATCGTGCAAAGAACGCAACTGAAGAACTTCTTCTGATAAGTTTTTAACTTGTTGTTGAAGAGAGCTTAAAATATCATTTAAACTTTCTTTATTTTTTATAAAATCATCCACATCATTCCGGACATTTTTAATTTCCTGGGCTATGACCAAAGAATCAGCATGGTGCAGGTCAACAGGAGGAAATTTTGCTGATGCAGTTAAGAAGGTGGGGCACTTGTCAGTTGGTGTTTCATGCAGCACTTTCAAGATATCTCGAAGGTTCGATACGATTTCGTTCGGGCCAGTTCTATTAATTTTGCGACCAGGTGGCTGGCATAATTTAAATACTTGAGCTTTGACCTCCTCGACCTCTGAATCCGAATAAAATTTGCTGCAGATGAGAACCAGGTCATCTGTCGTCATCAGATTCATTTTGTTGTAGACGTACCATAGAACAGTATTGATGCAATGACGGATCGCCGTATCTTCTTGGATAGAGCTACAGTCTGTTCTCTGGAAGCAACTCGACTCATCTTCTCCGGACATACCGGTACCGGCAAAGTCTGCCCAGTAACAGTGGGATCAATGCAATAACTATCTAGTATTTAATCAATTGTTGCTAGTAATTAATCTTAATACAACCAAATACTCCAATCTGTGTTATTATGTTGTTGTTGTTCTTGTTGGAAACTTACCGTAGTTTACCACTGGATCTTTTTGTTATTATTAAGTTTTTATCGTTCTTGATATTTTTCTTTGTATCGTATAAAAAAAATCGTATTTCTCCTCAACTCCTGAATCAATCGCTTTGAAATGCTCACTGTTTGAAGATTGAATTTTTCGCTAAAAAGATATTATTTTCATGCATTTCGAATATTGTTGTGAGCTGTATGGGGTTATTGTTTGTGTGGTATGACGTCTTCAAATTTGCCAGTCCCTGGCGGTTCCGTGAACACATTTCAGCGGATCTCTTGCTCAGCGAACATCGGCAAATTTTGTGCTTAGCCGAGAAGTTAAAGATTTTATGAGGAATGGTAGACTGCGGTACCTGATTTGTTAATACAGAAGGGACTCGGATCGCTTGGTATTGAAAAAGTTATTCCCCAGTGTTCCCCCGGAAAATTTTTTGATCGCAACTTAATTAAAAAATATTTATTAGCTGAATATAATGTGATTCAATATTATGCAAATATCAGTGTAAGCTGTCAAATTCATATATTGAATATGACTCCATCATTTTATAGCTAGGTTTCTGTAGATTTCTGTGAAAATTATTGAAGATGCTATTATATTTATATTCAATTCTAAACTGTGTACATATTCTATATAGGTTTGGGGATTGGCCATTTTTTGCTTTTGCTAATTATCTCTAAGCCCTTCCTATTCTTTTCGCACGTTATATCACTGTTGACAATTTTCATGATTTGCATTGCTATGTGATATTCTGCTTACTTGCAATTTTTAATATTGTTTTAGTACTTTCCAAAACGAGGGTCTCCGAATACTGATACCGCGGCATATGCTGAATGTGAAAGCAAATTCACATAACGGCTTTTATGCTTTTAATTAAAACCGTGACATGTTCTGTTCTGAACTGAAAAAAAAATAATTTCCAAAGTGTGCAAAACTTTTTAAATCCTGACCTCGTGTTGTTCCCAAAGAGCATAGAACAAAATGCGTTTGCCTGTTCAGCTTGAGAACAGAATTACTATTAGGAGAAGGGCATTTTAATGGGTAATTACTATAATACGGCTCATAAGACGCAATAGGTTTGGTAATATTTCCGCTTATCGCTCGAGTAGGTACAAAATCATCGCATTCGGAGCAAAAAATTGTTGGGAAATAAAAATAGAGGTTGTTATATATATTTGTTTTTTATCAACTCTAAAAAAACAGCCTGTATTCAAAACGAGGTCTTGTATTTAAATCAATTTTTTTGTATCTTTCGTATTTTTATTGAAATACCCCTTGCATCGCCGTGAAACTACGCCAAAATGTTTCATTCTGGCTGCTGCTCACTCTGCCGGAATAATAATTTCAAAAATGCAAGAAAAAATCCTTGCTTTGATCTTCTCTTTCATCGCCTAACTTTATCGTTAGTTTAGTACCGACACCAAAGTCATATGATTTTAACAGGAATGTTCTAAACGAGATATCAGGGGGACGCTTTGAGCAAAAAAGACAGAAAAATCATGAAATATAGCTCGCGGGCCTACTACAACCCAAAAGCAGTTGGATCAGGGTCACCGCCCACCGCCTAAATTCGGCAAAACAAGTGGGTTAATACAATAATGGAGATTATACTTAGATCGGCGGCAACCTACGTAGGTTCGAATCGGGGCCGCATTTAGACGATGAGATACCCTAGAGGCCTAGAACTAGGGCTAGGCTGTGCTAATTATGAGGCCTACTATCACATCTATATCTGTTTCAACATCATAATAGGACTGCTAGTTCATGTATAGGACATCACGAGTACAGTTTGAAATATCCTGAATTACAAAACTACAAGATACATACTTACAAAACGTCATGGCACTAGAAACCAGATCATAATACTCGTATATTATGAGATCTGACATAGTAAAAATTATAAATATTAATGCTTACATTCTTTGTTGCTTTGATGAATTAGTATATATACTAGCTATATGTCGATAATTTTATTTTATAAAATAAAGGCATTATTACGGTGAAAACTGTTCAGTTAATTTAAATTAGCATTCTTTGTTTTTGAGGTTAAATGAATAGAGTTTTTCAAAGTTATACAAAGTCATTTATTCGGTCGTATTTCAATTATTTATTGTTTTAAACGGTAAATATTTGGAATGATTAACCTAAATAAAAAATATGAGAACTGTAAAGTTCTAAACTGACATTATCTGGACCAAGCCTTTTGAATTTAAAAACGATTCAAAATGAATAATAGTTTAAATTGATTGACAATGCCCTCAAGGTTTGAGGCGCTTAGGCATGTATAGCTTATGCCTACTGATATATTCAACCCTGGTTAGAACCCCATGAATAATGTAACAATGTGCAAGAAGCAGTATGTTCCCCAGCTTTTAATTTTTGGGGGGGTGTTTTGAAATTTAGGGGGTGGTAAATAATTTGCTATTAGCGACGAAACTATTTGTATTCTCAAAAATTCTCGGAAATTTTAGGGGGGGGGTGTTCACCCCCTATAGGGGGGGGGGGGGGGGGGGGGAGGGAAATCACTGGCAAGAACATTACTTGACTCTTTGCCGTCGCAGGGCAGTTCAGGTAATGACTTGTTGGTTGCGTCTTCCTCCGCAAACCACACTTGCGGACGCACTGCGCTACAGTTTGAGAGAGCGTGTATGAGCAAATCATCGATATTTGTGGCGTTTTGAAGGGTTTGTTGCGAATAAGGAGCAATTGGCAAGTTTTTATATCCACTTTCCTTTCAAATCCTTCTCCTTTACATCCAAAAACCTGTTTAAAACAAAAAAATCAAATAATACAGCCATTTTAAACAAACAGGCATGACATTTTTACGTTTTGAAACAATTCTACCAAAACGCAACCACATGAAACTGCAGAAAACTCTATAAATATGATATGTTCGTCACCGTCATTCGGAAGTCTATATCCAAATTCACACAAAGTTTTTTTCAATCTTCATTTACCGTTAAACTCCCAAGTCAATTTTGCCCTGTCAATTATTGTATGCAATTTGCAACCGTTAGATATTTAGGCCGAGTGGGGTGATACGTCCTCCTGACCATACGTCCTCCTTTTTCGTTAAAAATTATACGTCCTTCGAGGACGCTCTAAAATGTCGAAATATCTATCCTCTTTGTTCACAAGATTGAATATTCAAAATTCTCTTATGAAATATTTAACAGTTTTTCATGTGTTAATAAAATTAGAGTCGAGACTTTAAATATCATTATACATATGACAACCAGTGTATTGCGTTGTGATAGCATACGAGGTTACTCTGGGTTAATTCCATTCCAGAACTTATGGAAGTTTGAAAAAAAGCAACTTCAATCTAATTCAGTTTGCTAATGCAAACTGAGGGCACATGAAAGTTGGACAGAATATTTTAAAAACCTACATCACCAGCGACTTGTACAGCGATCTGGCAAAGATCGCATAATATATTACTTCAGCATAACGCCAAAGTTGAGCGCATTTTTTCTTTAATGCAACCTCAATGATCGAAAAAACGCGAAAACTTCCTATTTGAGTATGTTGCTAAAATACTTCAATTTTTTTTACAATTTTAACGACATTTCTTGAAGCCAGTTTTACGATACTGCAAAAATAACCCGACAATGATGACGAAGATTAAAGGAACTGGCAAGTAACCATGGACAAATGAATTGATTGTTCTGTAGATGTTTTTTTAATAAAGACAAACCTGCTATATTTCATTGTCGTCTCTTTGTTTTTTTTGTCACTTCTAAATCTAATGGCAGAGAATTTAATAAATATATATTGTATATCTCAGGCACAGGTGAAATATAGACCTCAGATATAAATTTATCAATAAGCGTCCCGAAAAATGTATGATCGGCTCCAGACCCTAAATTACAGTTTGTATCATATTATTGTGTGAAGATGCACAACACTCTTTATTTGTTTTTATGCACTACAGCCTACATTTATCAGCAACCCTACGCCCGTAAAACTTTATTATGAACACCTTCAAAACAGAATTCAAAACAGGTTCCCCTTCTTATCGAAGTCACTAACAACAGTTCAGCGGGGATTCGATTTTGACATTTTCAGTATCACCAACTAGAGGCCATATCAGCAGAACACGTTTTGGTCTTACGTTTGATTTTAAATTCATTTTGTATATTTGTAAACATATATATAAAACGACAAGGTGCACGACAAGCTTCTTCAAATTTAAATAACTATAAAGTGTGAAAGTTAATTTGGTTAACCTGATAACTTGGTCAGGAACTTGAAATCATAACCGTTGAAACAATGTCAACAGTAAAGACGTAACGCAACAGTTTCAAACAAATGGTTACACGTCATTTGAAGATGACGTTACTTTTACAGTATTTTCTGATTCGATTACTTGTTCCCCTTCCGGATATTCAGAGATTTCCATTTCAACTACCTCATTGCAAACACCATGTAATGTTCTCGACGATTTCTTGAAGTATTTCAATTCTAGTTGAATGAATTTAATTTTACTAAACTCGTGCGACATACTTGTATAAAAAAGTAATTGTGCAAACAACATTATCCATTCTGAGATGACCGCCGGCTCTCTTTTTTCCCAATTTGACAACTGAAAGAAACAAAGGAAATTCAATGCAAACTTTTGATACGTATAAGGATTAGAAAATAATTTTTGATTTGCATAGACTTTCGGTCAGGAACAACACTATTTAAAGAATTATAACATGTTATAAAATCTTTACTTTATTTACAGAAATTAATTCACAGCTATTTACGATAACAGAGACACCAAATTATTGTGTATTCTGCGTTATTTACGCCACTTCAGGAGTCTGGTGAATACAGAATTGAAAATTTGATATCAATGTAGCTTTTACTTCTCTTTATAATTAGGGAACAAAGTTAGTATACTTACAAATATTAGACCAAGAAAGGAGCCAACTGATTCTCGAGTTAAGGATGTTGGTTTCACATTCAAAAATATCAGCTCATTTCTAGTATATATATATAATTTTTTAAATAACATGTATGTATTCAACTCTCATTAAGTGCTATGTTTATGAATAGATCTGTATTTATAAGAGTGTAAAATTTATGTGTGTCGTGGCTCTTGTTCAAATATAACACTAAGCGTACTTCAAAAATTATGGAGCTCTGGAAAGACTCATAGCCACGCAGATGCCGATGTCAGTGTCAATGATTTACATTATAAGCTCGTTTTAAACAGTCATATTATCATCAAACTATAATATAATGCTAACCTAAAGTTAGCTTGAGCTTTTAAAAGGATACGTAAAATAATGCAAACGGTGTGAATCGATGCTAGAGTTATTCTGATGAGGAATAAATAAGGAAAACCGGATCTCTTGCGACAAAGCTTCCATGTAATTAAACAAATCAGCCAGCACTGTAACGTTCCACCACAAAACGCCATCGCTGCTCCAGTTATGTGAATTCCGACTAAATGATCCCTCCACTAGGTAAACAAGATAATTAGTTTAGTCGTACGTGGTAAATTAAATCTTTGAAGGATTATCACACTTGCAGATTACTCTACGTAATACGCATAAATAGGGAAATAGAATCTGGAATGCTGGTCTCCAACATGACAACAATAGCATCAATCACTCACCGGAAAACAAGCAACGACGGTAATTCCACTTGACGTGATGCAGCCAAATACAAACGCAGCAACATTTAATAATGAATTACCTAACTGTGCACAGACAAATTTGTAAAATGATAAACACATAACAAACAAACACGCAGCACTCCAATTGAAAACGAATACAAATAGAGATGACTCCGGTAAATACATTCCGAAATGACTGACATAAGCGGGAGTTTCATTTTGTCTACGAAGAAAGTTTTTTTCCAAACTGGCAATCCCATAGCTGAAAAAATTGAAAAAGGTAAACATGTATCGTCTAATAGCCTTGTTGAGTTCGGGGCGATACTAATAGCATGTAGTGTCAAACAAACCACTCGTGCACTTACTTGCAGGGAACGACACTAAAGATTCTGTACATTACGGGTATGAAAGTTCCGAAATTATATTTTTGTAGATGGCAACATCAAAGAAATGAATCCCATTCCCACTGACAAGTCTGTTAGCAGCACACAGTTTGACATGTCTAATTTTTTAAGCTAAATACCGCCACAATTATACCTCTACACAGGTATTAGGTATTGTGCTACCACGGGCATTAATTCCTATTTTTCTCAGGACGTTAGTTACGTTAGTTCAGAAAAACGCACATTTATGACACGATCATCGTCATAATCAAATGAGTGAACCCGTTTTCCAACCGCTAATGATGGAGTAAAAACACCGAAAATCGTGTTTCATTTTTCAAGTGGCGCTGATTTTAATATTTCATGTCTGCCATTATGCTTTTATTTTTGCTTCCAAGTCAATACCGCCAACTTAAACTGGACGATATTGTCATCAACCACGCTGGGCTAACAATAAAATCCTTGATACGCGGTAAATTGCAATAAATGCAAAACTTTCTCGTTACGCTGAGTCATAAATACGATCGAAACAGAGGATGAAAACAATTAATTATGCTTTTAGATTTATGGCCGTTGCCGCTCAGACTATCTTGACTATGTTGAAATATACGATAATAATTGCGAAATGTTTTTAATCAAAAGCATCCCAGACCTGCTATAAGTATTTCAAGTCGGCGCTAATTTAAATCCTTTCAACTCGACTGTAATTCATTGCCGTGCCGCGCGTATCTGTCTTTGATTACGAAAAAACATAGAATGGATGAAAGCGTTCAAATATAAAAGTGCATTACAGTAATCTAAATAACACGTATGTTTCATTCATTTCCATATTTTACTTGTCCCTCGAGTACATTTTATTCAATATCAGCTGGTGTAGAAAGATTGATAACCACTACCCAAGATATTTCTTGATACTGACGCGAAACATTCAGTAGGACATATTAACGAAACTTACCAAGAAAGCAAACCGCAGACTGTCAGCACTAAAAATCTCAATGGCAGAAGCATGCAGCTTTTGAAATTCCACATTTTATAAGTACACATCACACTGTAAACAAGGCTTTTCATGAACTGCCAGAGGCAATCCTACGCGCACCGGTCCCTTATCTAACAGATCATCACAGTCGCGGGCAATTACTGGCCCATTTTATTTAGCTGGTTCAGCTAACAAAAGTTACTTAAAAAAATTCTACTATTTGGATTATGATCATTTAACACGACCATGTAATAAACAGAATTGCACCGGGCTCACAGACTGTCTGTTGTCGGCAAGTTTTTGTTCACTTAAAACTACACTTTTTTGAAAAGACAATATATCCAAGAAAACAAATGAATGATTATCTAAAATCTAAATCAGTGGTTTTCAAAGTGGGCGATATCGCCAAAAAATTCGAAGAGGGCGGCGGGGGTTTGGGGCGATTGCGCATTCTCGAAAAGTCAAATATGGTTAAAATCGTCCAAAGTTTTATTCATCATCACGTGGGTATTTTGGGCGTGAAAATCATATTATATATTTCCGCGAAATCTCCCTACCTCTGAAAATGTGCAAGAGGATGTCGGTAAAGATTGTTTTCTCGTCCGGAACTGTGCGTAAAATGCTCGAAACTCGTTATTATGCGATCATCTGAAACGTGACGCTGAATACAACTTAAGAATTGAATACGCAAATCCAGTTCAACTGCAAAATAGGCAAGTGAATATTAAGTATAAAAGAAGCGGTTTCATAATATATGTATATATAAAATATATATGTAAAACGGAAAAAACATAAATTTTGTTCTAGGAGTGCCGCGACAGATTAAAATCTCTATATTAGACGTGTTTCAATCGCATAATTTTGGAATTTTCGATCGGAAACTATGTCGTAGTCACCTGAAGTTGGTCCATTCCACTCCAATTTTCCCTATTTTAGTCCTATTATCAGTTCGAAGACTAGCCAAGAGTCTCCCGTAGTATTTATACCTAAACTTATGGCCTAACCCTTACCTAGTACACATATTACATTCCGATGTCCGCCATCTTGGTTCGCATACTTCGGGAGCCCCAAACTAATCAATGTAATGATGTAAAATTTATCGTCGACCTCAGGATTTTGCTAACAGCGATATCTTGAAATGTAATCTTTACCAGCTCAAATTAAAGTTAACAAGATCGCAAAAATGGGAATCAATTATAATTGGGCAGTATACCATATAATTTTTGTACGCAGATTGCAGTATTTCAGAGCAATAATTTTATTGTAAACAGGCGCAACGGGATGAACTTTTGCCCAACAACAAAAAAACTGACTGTTTCGATCGGATTTTTCGTTTCCGATTTTTAATACAGAATAAAATTTAATGAAAATATAGTTTAGTGCAAGTTATCTGGCATTTTTGAGGAGGTATAACTGTGGATTCCTTTGTTTCTAAGATCTTATTTGGCAGAAACTTGGTCATCCAATCAAAGAATGATGATAATGATTTGAGATTGTAACTTATTACATCATGCACCATGATTAGTCTATTCGTTTCATTGATTTGCAATAAATTTTCTTGTAACTTCATGTTTTTCACAATTCTCATTTGCCGTTAAACTCCCAAGTTAATTAGTCAATTTTGCTCCGTCAATCTTTGTATGCGATTTCCAACCATTGGATATTTATTACAGAGTATACATTCAACCTCAGATATGAATTTAACATAAGCGTCTTCAAAAATGTATGATCTGCTTCAGACCCTAAATTACAGTTGGTATTATATTGTTGTGTATTCTTAGCGTTGGCGTTATAGTTCCATGTTTATCATATAGCCGTAAAGATTCGCCAATAAATTTCTTCTGTGTTTATGCACTTTAATTTGAATATAACGCTGCTACATTTGCGAGAAACCCTACGTCCACACTAACACCCGCCCACACCGTAACGTCATTATGGTATTCTAACTCTGTTATGAACACAATCATATGCAGAACTCAAAATTTGACGAAAAGTTTCTCTCGTTTATCAAACTCGCCAACAACAGTCTAGCGGTGATTTGATTTTCACATTTGCAGTGTCACCAAGTAGAGACCATAGAGAGGAGAACACGTTTTAACCTACGGTTTGATTTTAAATTCAGTATATATATTTGTGAACTTATAAAACGGCAATGAGTAAGATAAGCTTCTTAAAATTCAATCAAAATTGCTCGGTGTGAATTTAAAAGAGCCTAGTCAAAAGAATAAATAATATATATAATGTGTAAAAGTTAATTTGATCGTAACTTAGTCAGAAACTTGAAATATAACATAATTATATTCGTTCAAGGCAACATAAGGGTATAATATTATGGTGTGATCATGAGATCAAACGCTGTGTATAGGAAGATGGAAAAATATAAACACAATTGCGAATTTAACAAATCATTTAAATGCCCTGAGCATCAAAGTGAAAAACATACAACGTCGGCGGTAAATGCGCAGCACAACAGTCTCAAACATATGGTTACACGTCATTCTAAGATGACATTCCTTTTACAGAATTTTCTGATTCAATTACTTGTTCCACTTTCGGAGATTCAGAGATTTTCATTTCAACTACTTCATTGCAAACACCGTGTAACGTTCTCGACGATTTCTTGAAGTATTTTAATTCGAGTTGAATGAATTTAATATTACTAAACTCGTGCGACATACTTGTATAAAAAAGTATTTGTGCAAATAACATTATCCATTCCGAGATGACCGCGGGCTCTCTTTTTTCCCAATTTGACAACTGAAATAAACAAGAAAACTTAATGAAAATTTCTAATACTTCTGCATTAAAAACAATTTTCATTTGCGAGGACTTTCAGTCAGGTCAACACTATTCACGGAAATATAACATATTTTAGAATCGGTATATTATATACAAAAATTAATTCACAGTTATTTATTACAGTGCATTTTTCACGCCACCTTAGGTGCTTGGTGACTACAGAATTGATAATATCATTGTAGCAATGTAGCAAACAAATCAGTAACTCATACTTACATATATTAGACCAAGGAAGGAGCCAACTGATTTTCGAGTTAAGGATGTTGGTTTCACATTAAAAAATGTCGTCTTTTTTCCAGTATAATTTTTAATATATTTTTAAATAATATATATAATACAGTATCTTCTCATTAAGTGCTATATTTATGTAGATATTTATATTTATAAGAGTGTAAAAAGTTATGTGTGTCGTGGATCTTGTTTAAATATTACGCTAAGCGTACTTTGGGATGGACTCAAAGCTAAGTGGCGATGGCCGTCTAGCAGTGTTCATAATTTGTAGGTGACCGTACATTTGAGCCCACGTACATTAGAACCCATGTAGATATCCGCGGGTTCAATCTATATCCGGGTGCTAAAACTCATGGGTTAGGGTTGGTATGGGTTCAAATAACGTAAAACAAAAAAAATTTTCATGGGTGCAATTGTCGTGGGTTCAGATGTAAGGGAACCTAATTTGTATTATAAATACTCGTTTTAAACAGTAATTATCATCAAACTACAATTTAATGCTAAACCAAAGTTAGCTTGAGCTTTTGAAAGGATACATAAAATAATGCAAACAGTGTGAATCGATGATAAAGTCGTTCTGATGAGAAATAAATAAGGAAATCCGGATCTCTTGCGACAAAGCTTCCATGTAATTAAACAAATCAGCCAGCACTGTAACGTTCCACCACAAAATGCCATCACCGCTCCAGTTATGTGAATTCCGACTAAATGATCCCTCCACTAAGGAAACAAGATAAATAATTTTGTTTGCATGGCATATTACAATTTACACGATAATCAAAATTGCAAATTGCTCTACGTAGAACGCATATCCCATAGAATGATTGTTTTTGATAGAACATGAAAACAATGTGAGCTAAATACAGGATTGATGTTGTTGCATTAGTTATAGATTATATTATACAATAGCATACGGTTATTTTCCTAGAATAAAGCTAAATGGAACTGGAAGTTCCATAAAATGAGAAGTATAATTTTGTTAGATCATCGCCCAATTTATGCAGGGAAAACAGCAGAATACCACGCACAGATAGAAAATATTTTACAATTAGTTGAGTAAATGTATCGGAAAATATATCTTTATTACACGAGAACCCGATTATAAAGAAAACGACCAGATTTGGCGGTCAATGGAAGAATAGTTAGTTCACTCATTTTAAAACCAATCTGAAAGACATAAAATTATCGAAGTGAGTTTATCGCATTAACGAAGTGTAGTCACAGGGTGAATATTCGACGATTGACAAAATCTCTAGGTAGAAGCTATTTCATTAGTTATTCCGGTAGGTCTACAACTCATAAACGTCCACTTGCTGATATGCTTATAAGTGAATGCTGGTCCCCACCACAACAATAGCAATAAAAACGTTCTATTACTCACCGGAAAACAAGCAACAACGCTAATGCCACTTGACGTGATGCAGCCAAATACAAACGCAGCAACATTCAATGACGAATTACCTATCTGTGCACGGACAAATTTGTAAAATGATAAACACATAACAAACAAACACGCAGCACTCCAATTGAAAACGAATACAAATAGAGATGACTCCGGCAAAAACATTCCGAAATCACTGACATAAGCGGGAGTTCCATTTCGTCGGCGAAGATAGCTTTTTTCCGAATTGGCGATCCCATAGCTGAAAAAATTGGTGAAATGTAAACATGTATCGTCTAATAGCCATCTTTGTGGATGGCAACATCAAAGAAATGAACGGCAAATTTCAGAACTTTTGTCAACGTCGGTACCCAAATTATATTTCTCACATACATCACATGTAATAACGTAATCGGGTTTTACTAAAATACGTCCACATGTCCTAACCACGCTGCATATCCCTTGCAGCAGAGCGATCATGAAACTATCTCGATTCGTGAATAATTCTGAGCCATACCGGGATAAGATAATTTTAATTTAATTAATTAAGTTTATTTTACCCGGTTAACGGTTAAAGTGTTTACCCTGAATTTCCCAGCCCTATTGATTGTAGATCAAACGAGAGTTCGTGCTAGTTCAAGTTTACGTCGGCATTCTTGTGTGACGACCAAATCAGATAATACGTGTGTAGATGTATGTAAATTAACTTAGCGTTATAGATTATTTCCAAATCTACCGCCAGGCAATCGTTCTCAGTTAAATGCCAAATTTAACAACAAAAGACGAACGTCATACTTACTACGCGACGTTAATTTTGTCTATTCGGTTAAATTCGGAAAAGAGGCGGTTGCGCTAGAGTTGCGTATAATTACGAAGCTCTTAAAAACGTCATCGACGAATGCGTTCAAGTATAAAAGTGCACTATAGCAGTCTAAATGACAATGCTTCATAATTTCAAGGTTTTGCATTTTATTCAATATCCGCTGGTGTAGAACGATTCATTATACCAATGCCCAAGATATTTCATTATACTGGCGCGAAACATTTTGTACAACATATTCAATGCAACTCACCAAGCAAGTATACCGCAGACTGTCAGCAGTGATAATCCCAAAGGTAGAAGCATGCAGCTTTTGAAATTCATCATTTAGTAAGTATACATCACATTTCTAAACGAGGCTTTTCGTGAACTGCCAGAGGCAACTCTACGCGTACCAGTCTATTACCTGATGGATCATCACAGACACGAGCAATTACTAAGTAGTCGATACAACCAAGAAAACAAAAGAATGGTGATCTAACTTGTATCAGGCTTTTTAAATTTTAACTGCAGTCTAGGACTGTGTCTTCTATGTATATTGAGACTTGTGCCAACTTTTAGAATAACGCGGCTTTCAATATATGCGTTTGAGGCACAAATTAGCATACTTTGTATATTATGTATCTCTTTTCTGTTACATCGTTTATTCAATATTATATGGTTGGCCAAAAGTAAGATACTGTAACTCGATTTAGTCGATTCGCCCACTCCTTGCTTATTTTATTTTTTTAAAACTAATCATAGTGAATCACAAAAAAATAGTCCTACCCTCTCGGTTGGTCTCGCGCATAAACTGTATTCTTACCCTGTAAAAGCTATTAAAAGAACATGATTTTCACGAACGGGCTGTGCTTAGCAAACACATTCATTCATCTTTTGCGACAGGCTTTTTGAGGGAGGAATAGAGGAGCCACAAACGCTGTCTAATAAATATAATGTTTTGATATATGAATGAATTTAGAGTAAAGGCTCCACCAATCACCATACTTTATCTTACCAATTACTCACTTATCTTACCACTTGAATAGTGTTTAGATTAATGAATCACATTCTGAAGCAATGAAGTGTAACCTACCTTACTCAAGTTCTGCCGCGTCGATATTATAACGTATTCATTCGTGTCAGACGTGGTGATTTCTAGTCCAGATTTGAGTTTCACATTTGGAATCCTACTCCACCGGGCATTAAAAACCAGATGACTATAATCCTTTTTTTTGCATTACTTTTATTTCTCCTACTCCTCGTGTTCTCACTCCAATATTATAAACCGTACTTTAACGGAGTAAACTTCCAATCTGAACCCCTTTGGAGGTCAATAAGATGCCAAACGTTCGTATGTTCCAAGCTGCGTAATCGAATCGAAATGATCTAAATACAGATATATTAAAATATACACTCAAACTTTAACATGAGTAATAGAATTTAAATCCAAGTCTGTAATGCAACAAATAAAAACATTAAAAACACTTATTTTCAACTCTAGGACGGAGATCGAAAACACGTTATCGATGGCTCGGTACAGAAAAGCGCTACGTAAGGACTTCACTATTGAAGTAACGGGCGCGATAACCTATTTTAAATCGATTCAGCGTCAAGACTGTCTCCGTTTGGATTTTGCGAATTCGGTGCTTGCTCAACAGAACTGTTTTAGTATGGGTACGGTAGGCAACCGGGAGTCCAGTATAACGACTTGGCAGTGCAAATAGCATTTGCAAAAATATTTATGCCACGTCCAGTAGAAGTACTTGTGGTACTAAACTGCGCTAGATGCACAGTTACGGTAGCCGTTCAATAATTCCTGTTTCGTTCAGAATATGGTTTTAATGAAATTATGGGTAAAGTATTTCGTTTTGGCTTTCGTGTCTATATATTTAAGCTTTGCTGCCCTGTTTATTGGGTACGAAGTTTTGTTATTGTTGTTGTGAACAAAAAAGCTTCCTCTTTACATACTGGATCAATTGTCTTGGAGTTTTCGGTAAGTAAAAAAGTGTTGCTGTCGCTAGAAGGCTATTCTTTTATTTATTTCCAAAATCGTATGGTATGAGACAATGGATCTTGACCCTTTTTTCGCGAACCTAGTTTTCGTAAAATCAAAGACGACAGATACTCGCGACCCCACATCTAGAAAATTACAGCAATTTCAAACACCATTATCTATATTCGATTATCTTAATGAGAACAATGTGCCTGTATGTCGACTGTAAGTTTGGGGGACGTTGGTGTGACGTTATTGTACGTAACTGTTTAGTGGTTCACAATTATTTCCACCCTGGCGTGCAAGCAACATCAATTAAAATAGGCTCGCGGACCAGTAATAAAATATTGAAATGAATAAAACAGAAAAAAATACCCGTGTGTTAGAATCATATTCCAAGGTTTTAGCACAGACTCGAACAAAAAATCACAAAACACCCAAAACAGGTCAGACAACAAGCGGTCGATTGTAGTCAAATATTACCTTCACATTCACGTGGACATCAGTGAACATTGGCCCAAAATTTGATCATGCTCCGGGAAAACGAGGTACCCTTAGAAGATTTGATAACACATGGCATCGTATGAAGACCACGATGTAGAAATCACCACCGAAGCGAATTCAACTCAGAATAGTCAAACGCCGGAGAATTGTTTTTTATTGGTAAAGTTGGTAACACACAAATAGATTTTAACCGGCTTAAGTTTTAACAGATATTGGTGGCGTCTTGAATTGTGGATTTCTCGTGCATGACCACTCCGAGTTCAAAAGCAATAAAGCTGTATCTTGAGATCCCCTCGTATACCAGCAATAAATGATGACATCTGAGCCTTTAGGACTTAGATGAACCACATAACATATCACTCATTTATCTAAAAGTTTCACGTCATATCGATTTTCAAACTGAATTGAGTAGGCTATTGACTAGTTCAATAGGACTGGCATTCCGGAGATGAATACACGGAAAAATCTGGTACTTTACAAGAGTGCTTTTGCATATGACCAGTAATATGATTCTGATTTCTGTTGTGGCTGAAGCTCGCCATTAAGTCTTTCAGTATAGACTCTCAAAAATCAGCTGTAGGCTACATCGAATCGTAAAATTTCATTTAACTAAGTACGGATTCAACTTGTATACGGTTCTCTTTTGTGTTTGAGTCATTACTTACTGTGCACCTCACATCCATTTCAGTATGTATCAACCCAATTGATCAATCTCATTGCGCCCTATGTCAAATATTCATCAACGCTGGTGTTCATTTTAAACAAAACTGATGAACAAGGAAAATAAATATGTAAACATATCAATATATTAGAGGAAATATTTCAGTCAATCGATTATTCAAAACACAGAATTGGAAAGAGACACCATATCCTAAAATAAATCCGTTGGTTTGGTCAGAATTAGGAGGGCTCAGGACATTTTTCTAGTTGTTTCTGTTTATAAAATCCCTCGCAAAACTGCACATAAATACCAGATCGAAGCCGCTTCCCTATGCTTCAAAACATAGCAAAACGATCACGTTTCAAAAAGTTTATTATCAAACTGAAAACAATAAAAATCAATAACGACCTCATGTTCTTAGAATTTATTTCATACCTGTACCAAAAGACTTGGTGGCCTACAGGTGTACACTGTACAGGCATCACGGTACCAGTATCTACTGACAGACTCTTCTGATGTCCGACTAAAGTCACTAAACCATGTCACAAAATTGAAATAAATCTTTATTTCTAATCCTACACTTAGTATCAATATCCCACAAACAAGAAAACTGTTCTCAGGATTTATTTCATGCTGGTACCAAAAGATATGGTACAGGTGCACAGGCATCATTGTACCAGTTATCTACTGACAGACTCATCTGATGTCCGACTAAACCATGTCACAAAATTTAAATAAACCTTCAATTCTAATCCTACACTTCATGTCAATATCACGCAAACAAGAAAACGACGGTACGCACCAAAGCAATATTTCATCACGCCAGCAATAAAACAATAGAACATGTCCTATTGCTCGAAAAAATAGAGCAGCAATAAATTCACTCAAAATGTTGCCTAAATTCACGAAGCAATAAAGTTTTACGTGGGTGCAGGTTTTCAATAATCAATATTTGTTCTGAAAAATATACTGCGTCGCAATAAAATTATTGCGGCTGTGTGCGCCCGGCCTAATTGTTGGCCATCTCAAATCTCGTCGCAATCACGATGTTCATTTTGATATCTCATTTATAGCTCAGAGGAGCTTACCGTATCCAAATTACGATCGAAATTACAGAAAGACATGAGACGAATTGAACTTTTTATATTGAAACAAATTTTTGCTATGAAAGTAATTTTTAACACAAAGTGGACATACAGATCGTTTTGTTATCATGTTGTTGTTTTTGTTAAAATTAAAGATTGTAGCTATTACGTTTATGTATTTTGAAAAATTTTGTTCCAAGGAATTTTTTTTTGTATGCGATTTTGTCTACTGTAACAGATTGAAAACCCATACTACTTAGTTCGGGCCTTAGTGTTCCTATATTTGAACAACGCTCTTTTTTTCGTATGGTATTGTTTAGGTGGGGATGTTTTCTCTGTAAGCTATGTCGAGGAATCGAGAATCGAAATCAAAAATCGAAGGATCGAATACTTGTAAGTAATCACACTTAGCATCCTTACTAGCAACATGTCGAGTCTAGTAACATGTGCTATAAAAGAAATGTTAAAATATAATCATAAGATTGAGCACTTTCGTTGTACAGTAGTAGGCCTGCCTTAAAACAACAAATAAAATATTTTACAAATGTTTTATACATTTGAAAAGGTGTACAAGTGAGCTTCATTTTCCCAATGTGTTGTAATGATGCCCTTATTGTTTGAATTTACATAGATTACAGAACCCATTCAATATATTATCTTACAATGCGTATCAAAATTAAGTCGAAGATTATATGACATTATGTATGCCCACGTCGAAACGCCACCGCTCTGTTTTTTTTATAAAATCATGTCTAATAGTGATTTGTTCCCCCCTAATTTATGGAAATGCTGTCTTTATTATTTTTATTTAATGTAGAGGTTTTTGAGGAATGAATGTCGAAAATGAGCTACTGTGTAAATTCTGCTCATTTTTAAAAAATTTAGCGGAAGTGCATAGTAAATCCTTATAACTACGTTACGGACATATTGTCGTTTTTTAATATGTACTGACTAGGCCATGTGTAAAACTGATAAGTGCTGTTCTTTATTTCCTAACATAAACGTAATCAAACTTTGTATTAGTATACCAAGAAATTAGTTGGAACGTCTGGTATTATGCGAGGGCATTTTCTAAGAATACTTCCGGCGCTAATTCCTCGAACTTTACAGAGTTCTGTTTGAATGGACTCTTCAGGTTTGAGACAGTTGTTCCCTTTCGGCGATATCCATTATGGCATTCTTCAAATTTTTGCAAACGTATACTATCGTGTTTCCCCGAAAATAGGACTGGGTCTTAGTTCAATTTTCTTGCGAAAAATACCACTAGGGTTTATTTTCGGGGGATGCCTTATATTTTCCATTACAAAGTTACAAAGTATAGAATGACGAGATTTTCAAATATACAAAATATGAAAATCGATATTCATTTACCGGTACTTATAAAAAATAACACGTTTTTATTCAAAATAGCTGCAAAACATAGATTATCAATTTTTTAAAACGTGTAGTAGAGATTCTTGCTATCGACTAGGTAAAAAAAAAATTCGCGATATTAACTTGGTCTTATTTTAAGGGGAGGGCTTATTTTAAAATCATTTTACAAATTCAGACTTGGTCTTATCTTCGGGGAAACATCAGAATCTTTTAAACCATGGAAAGATCTGTCGTTTCAACGTCCTTCGGTTTTGCATACCAATTCCAATCCACCTATATTCACACATGAATTTCATAATATCGAGTAGGGCATACCAGAAATAGGCTCATTCGCGATACGAGTGCTTTATGTATGGCTCGGAACTGCACAATACCGGTACCTTACAAAAGCGCAGACACTGACTGAATTTATGGCTCCGACAATCATTCTTATTTTACGTGGACCTCACGTTATATTTCCATTCCGTGTATGGTGTGGGAATGGTGAACCAGTTATTTCAGATGCATGGACTTGGTCAATAATTCATCATTAGTTTGTACGGTTATGCCAGTGATTCTCAAACGACGAAAAAATCCTCAAATAGGCAAAGAGATGTATGTGTCGGAAAAGGTTGGGAACCACTGGCTTATACGGTATATTTCTTTTCGGGATTCCACGTACGCAAGGCAATGCTTCCGCTTACGGAATGGTACCGAGAAATGGAACAATCGGCACTTTACGACAACACAACTGATTTGTATCGCCGGTTTTGTTCACGGATTGTGAGCATAACGTTTAATAGTTTCCTAGTTTTCGGCCAATCAGAATATGACGCGCTTCGTTCAACATGTATTTATTTATTATAACTCGTGTCATGAACCCGGATGTTTAGGTACGTGTATCGAGCTGTGCCGCAGTTGCGCGTGGTTCGAATTTCGCATTAAAAGGAACAAAATTAACTTACTTATTAGTGAGCGGTTTGTACCTATTGTTGACAAACCAGAGACTGAGTAGGCACTTGGAACCGTAATCATTGACTAAGATGTCTATAGACGATAACCAAGCAGTTGGCAAGATAAATAATTTTTGCGCATGTCTGCATGTGGCGATTTCCGAAGACAAAAGGAACAGGGTTTTGTTGCAAATTGTAGATTTCTGCGCTCGGTGATATCTCACGTGAATATAGAATATTTCAAGTTAGGATCAATCAAAGTACCGGTATTTGCAAAATATTGATTTTTCTAATTGTGAATTTTAAGGTTTAGATGTCTTTGTCAGATGTGATTTGCTCTGTCAGTCTGTACCGTAACCTGTTTACAACCTAATATTAATAAAAAGAAATGGTCAATAATATGAACCTAGCCTGCCATTTATCGAAAACCCTATCTTTTTGATTCATTTGTAAATAATCATCATTATCATAAAACCACCAATATTTTTAACATAGGTACAGTAAAAATTTTAGATCTCAGCTCACGTATTGAATATTTTTGCATAGAACCCACAAAACCTTTTTTCCAAACTTATGATGCTTCTTTGTAGCATAGTAGCCTCCTGACAGTTAGACACTCCCTGACCTTTGAATTATTCTGGTAATACCGATAAATAAGCTCTTCTGTTTTTGTAAAGTTGTCAAATAAGCAGATGAATGAATGCAGTGATTACTTTGATAGTCGAACAACTCTAACAAGTTGGTAGTCGAGTAAAAAATACTGCAGAACCCAAACGAAAATTTGAAGCTCGAACACCCAAGCCGAGCGTGACAGAGTGAGATGACGTCACTCGAAACGCGCATAGTCTATGAGGTGCCTATCGACCTTTTCAACATGCTGAGAAATTTTTGTGATTTAATGCTTTTTTTGCTGTTAATCATGGCTCCAAACAAAAGTATTGATAAAAGGGAAGGAGAATAGAAAAACGGTGAGAACAACTATCGAGTTGAAAAAGAATAATTGCGAAATATGAGAATGGTGTTCGAGTGTCTGATCTCCCCTTACAGCTTTACAGTATAGCATGGCAAAATCTACTAATTCCATAAAAAATAAAAATAAAATATTCGGGGTATTTTGGAATGCGTAAAATCGTGTTAAGATACTAATCCTGAAATAGGTAGTCTAACGCCCATTCCAAAGAAATTATGTTCGACTACTGAGGTCTGGAGGTATCACTGTATGCTGGTATACGAATATATATCCAGAATATGTCTTACTACTAATATTCTTCTAACGCCTCCAGGTTTAAATATAATTTTTAGTTTTCAACCGAACTACTGTAATCATGGATTTGAATAAATGGATTTGGTTATTTGTCGTCCTTTTTTCTCTCACAATTCAACAATGTGTTGCTGATGATGACGATGAAGGGGATGAAGATGGTGGAAGCCAAGATTCTGTTGCTCCAGAAGAAGAAAATGGAGTTTTAGTTTTGACAGATGACAATTTCGATGATGCAATTAAAGATCAAAATGTTGTTCTGCTAGAATTTTATGCTCCTTGGTGTGGTCACTGTAAAGCATTTGCTGCAGAATATGAAAAAATTGCTCAAACTTTAAAAAAAGATGGCATTCCTGTTGCCAAGGTTGATGCGACTCAGCATAAATCCGTTGCAGGAAAGTATGATGTTACTGGTTACCCGACCATTGTCATTCTTAAGAATGGAGATCCAATTAAATATGATGGCCAGAGAACTGAAGACGCAATTATACAACAAGTCAAAGAATTATCTGACCCGAACTGGAAGCCACCACCGGAGGCTGTTATCACTCTTACAGATAGCAATTTTAATGAGGTTGTTGATAACGCAAACATTATTCTAGTAGAATTTTATGCTCCCTGGTGTGGTCATTGCAAAAAACTTGCCCCAGAGTATGAAGCAGCTGCCCAGGAGCTCAAAAAATCCGATCCCCCTATTTTACTCGCAAAAGTTGATGCAACTGGTGAAACTGAAGTCGCAAAACGTTTTGATATCACTGGCTATCCCACAATGAAACTATTTCGTAAGGGACAAGTTTATGAATACAAGGGTGGTCGTGACAAGCATGGCATTGTTACGTACATGCAAGAGCAAAGTTCACCTCCTTCAGTTGCCATGGCAGATTTGAAGAGCACTAAAAATTTACTTCATCATGCTGATGACATCACAATTATTGGATTTTTCACTGGAGAGGATGACCCTAGGTTGATGGTTTTTCAGGAAGCTGCAAACAATATACGTGAAGATTTCAAATTCAGGCATTCATTTGATGAATCCATTGCAGACCATTTGGGCACTGAATCTGGAAATGTTGTTGTTGTACATGCTGAACGTTTCCATTCAAAATATGAGAAGAGCAGAAACATTTTCAAGGTGACTGATGAAACAAAGGCATCTGATATTGAGGCCTTCATAAATGAGAAATCTCTTCCTTTGGTTGGTCAAAGAAATGGGGCTAATGCCCGGAAACGATACACAAAACGTCCTCTTGTCGTGGTATATTATGCAGTTGACTTTGGATTTGATTACCGAAAAAATACCCAAATATGGAGAGAGAAAGTTCTTGAAGTTGCCAATGAAATGAAGGATGTGACATTTGCAATTGCGAGTGAAGATGAATTCAATGATGAATTGCAAAAAGCAGGCCTTGGTGATTCATCTGAAGATATTAACGTTATTGCTTTTGATAAAGAAGAAAAAAGATACCCAATGGAACCGACTGATGAATTTGACAGTGAAGTTTTGTCAGAATTTGTTACCAGTTTCTTGGCTGGTGATATAAAGCCTAAATACAAATCTGCTCCTGCTCCAAAGAAAAACACTGGGCCGGTCAAAGTAGTAGTTGCCAACAATTTTGATAAAATTGTGATGGACGAGTCAAAAGATGTTCTAATTGAATTTTATGCACCTTGGTGTGGTCATTGCAAGAAGTTAGCTCCAGAGTACAAAAAACTTGGCAAAAAATTGAAGGATAACAATGATGTTGTCATCGCAAAAATGGACGCAGCAGCAAATGATGTTCCTCATTCCAAATACAAAGTTGAAGGGTTTCCTACAATATATTGGGCTCCTAAGAATTCTAAAGATAGTCCGGTAAAATACGAAGGTGGAAGGGAATTAGACGACATGTTAGAATACATTAATAAACATGCTACAAAGACAAAAGATGAACTTTAACTACCGTACGTGTTATAGATTGTAGAGATAATAGGGAGAAAACATCAAGTGATTTATGAATAAAAGGGCCAAGAAGAAATTTATTCCTATATAAATGAAGCTCAATATTATTGACCAAATTATATTTTAACAAGTGAAGCTTCTAAAACCTTATCTGTATTATGACATTCTACCATATGTAATTATATATTTGTATATTGAAGCCATATAGTGAATATGGAGGCAATATTCTGTTTATTTCTATGTTTTCGGAAATTGATGCTTTTCAGCTTGGATAGTAATTGTGCCATAATTATTTTTAGTTGGTCATTTAATTATTGATTTTTCCTCATCTGTGCAAATTCTAAATTACACATACAAAAGTAACAATCTGTTCTTACATTTTTCTTATTTAAATTACTCATATATTATGTTGAAGCTTTACCTACTGAAGGTTCTTGTGTGTACACTATAGCAAGCATGGATACCTTGTATTACATGTCTGGCTCAAGCTAAATTCTCTACTTTTGAGGATTTGTGTATCAAATTATTTCTGTTAGAATTATACATTACACTCTGATTCATTTTTCTATTGATTTCAAATAGGACCAATTCAATGATGTATGGTGTTTATAAGAAAGAGATAATGTTGATGTGCTTTCATTTGATGCTGTCGATTTGAATAGAGTTTGGCAAGCAAAGTTGAAGCGAAGTAATGTATCGTAATGGTGATCTTTGGGGTTGTTACGCATCCGTTATTTCAACTTTATAGCATTGATTGAAGCGAACTGTTGAGGTCACAAGTTATGGGAGAAAATATCGATATTGCTTGGTCGAAGACTCGAAGTGTATATTGGGAATTGGGCAGTTCATGGTATGATTATGAGCCAGATTAAAATCCACGAGAGTATTACACATTTGCTGACATAATTTACATTAAACTGACAAGATACATGTTAAGGAATGCTTTCACCAAAATAATGCACTCCCAATATATTGTTGGTAGGAGTCTGGTCCTGAGAATTGCTCTTTAGATCGGTCCCCTTCATAGGAGAAGGAGGTTGGTAATGTTTTTTCATTGTTATATATCGGGGTGGCCAACCTGATTCCGACCGCGATGGACCAAAATCTTCAAAATATCTCGCGATCGACTGATCGGTAATGGCGTTCTACACAAAACAAACTAGTACTGAATATGCAGATAACTGCACACACGCATACAAAAAATGCCACGGCTGCCAATAAGATCGGATCTGTGGACGCCTTTTTAATGAAATCGCCGCAAAAATTTGCATTTCCATTTCACATTTAATACTAAACTAATATCTAATAATATATCTTTCTAAATCTTAGGATAGGATAGGATTTACATATTTATCCCGGGGGAGAGGAAAGCCGATAAGACGGCTTATCCATATGGCGAACCACGGCCTCTCGTCCGGTTACCATTCCAAGTCGGGTATGGGATTAGTTATATATTGTTTGTTTTCGGAAGCATGGACTTGGTGGTGGAGGAAGCCGTAACCGACCAGCGGTTACGTGAACCACCCAAAATCTTGGCAGCGGCGAAACTTTCATTTGTTACGTAATAATAGGCTCTATCGGGTTTGCCCAGACTCGAATACTGTATGTGTATATCCAGTGGCGCAACCAGGCCATTTTCAACGGGGGGTCGGCCGGAATTTACACAGTGCAGCCACGACGTAAGTCGCAACGCCACTAGGTGTCGCCCCGCTGAAACACGATAAATGCTCGTGGTTAAAAAGGAAACGCCATAGATTAAATCCCAGTCTTTCGCTTACCCAGCCCTCGTTCATTAACGGCGCTTTGCTATGTCTTGCACTTCGTGAGTAGCAAAACGCCGTTCATTACATTCCAGCGAATTGCTAACGAAAAGCTGTTAATTATTTTCAACGTTTTCCTCGCTTTGCGCCTCGTGGATAGTGAAACACGACTTGAATAAATTCCAGTGTTTTCCTCGTGCCGCGCCTTGCTCGTTGGGTGAATTCGTCAAGACTAAAAACAAAATGCACTTCTTGCGAATGGACCTTTTCCCTACCCTAACCCCAGAAAAATTCTAAATTAAACTGAAGCTCACCGGAAGACATAATGACAATTAAAATACTTGATTTACACCTAATTTTTGGAAACACAACTAAAAACTGACTAATTTAATGCAGGGATGTCCAAATCGAATTTAAATTCAATTATCGCAAACTTCAAATACTGTTTTTCGTGTTTATAATAATCCCGAATATGGCGCACATATCCAAGCGTCGTCGTCGATGTGTGGTTCGGCAATATATTACAGCTGACATGAGAGAATTTCGATAAACGCCGACTTGAAGAACTTATAAGACTTCGAGGACGTTTTTGATTGAAAATATTTTCTTATCGTGTTTTTTAACTTAGTCGAGATGGTTTAGGCGTCCTCGGCAAATTGTGTCTTAATTAGTTGTTTTCATCCTCAGTTTCGATAGTGACCGAACATAACAGGAAATTTTTTCATTTCTTGTAATTTAGCGCGTATAAAATAGTTCTTAAATAGTATTTAATATCTATCGCGGATTTCCTCGGCATCCGGCGTTGATGACAACATCGTTCAGTTTAAGTTAGCGGTATTCATTTACAAACAAAAATACATAACAGCCGACATGAAATATTCGAATCAGCGCAGAGTTCAAAAATAAAACACGTTTTATGTTCTTAATATGCACATAGAAAGAAGAAAGGACAGAGAAATAACGACTAAAAACTAAGAACGGTATGGTATGTTTGTGTATTTTTGTTTACCATTTTTTTTTTATTATTTTTTTTTTTGCCAATTGATCGAATTAATAGTTGATTAGTTCCCATCCAAATTTGATTTGATCCCATTCCCAGAAATAAACATTTGCATAGAAAAATCATGAAGGCAAAAAAATTATACATCCACAATGATAAAAAAAAAATAAATAAATACAAACACAAACATATTATCCAATACCCATTTTTACATCGTTAGTTGTTTACCATTGTCATCATAATCAAATTAGTTAAACCCGATTCCCAAATTCCTATCCGCCAATAATGGAGAATAAAGATGGAAAAACGTGTTTTACTTTTTAAGTCGGCGTTGATTTAAATTTTTCATGTTAGGTGTTATAGTTTTTGATTATAAACCAATACCTCCAACCTAAAATGAACGATATTGTTATCAACGACGTCGGGATAACGATAAAATCTCCGATAGAAACCAAATAATATTTAGAAGCTATTTTATAGATTGCAAGAAATTAAAAAATTTCCCGTTAAGTTCGATAACTATCGAAATTGAGAATGAAAACAATTAATTAGGGCAGGATTTGCTTTTAAGTTTATTGTCGAGGCGCACAACATTGACTAAATTGAAATATACGATAACAAATGTAAAAAAATTTCAACCAAAAACGTCCTCGACGTCTTATAAGCACTTCAAGTCGGAGTTTATTGAAAGCCTTTCACGACGACTGTTAGTTATTGCCGTGCCATACGTGGCTGCTTGCGATTGCGATAAAAAATAGAATAATTGTAAAATGTTCTTAAATCAGAACGTGGACGGGGGCGGTAGGATGTGTACGGCGTTTTCGGTTTTCGGCCTTTCATATGTAGAAAATCTTAGGTTAATCGAAGCAATATTTTTCCAAAAATAATTTTTGTATCCAGATTTTCAAAGTTTCTACTGCATTATTATAACATGAAGACGGGCGGCGTCACATTGCGTCAAGATGATAAAGCACCAGAGTATTCGTCACAAGAGAGACAGAGATAGCATTATGCTATTGTTGCTTTTCAATTCGCATCGACAGCGCGCGATTTCCACTTTTTTGAGGTAACATATCTCATTTTCGAATACAAACATATACGCGGGGATAGCGATTATTACGTAACTAACAGCAAAAAGGTATGATTGAAGTCGGGCGGTTTTAAATTAGGTCGAGGTGATGAAGCACTGGAAAAAAGTAGTTTTCACCGGATTGTTATGATCGTAGAACGACGTTGTTTGAACGTAGAACAATAATGAAACAAAAACGAATTTCAACGAACCCCAGGGGTTGCCCCCCCCCCCCCCCCCCCCCCCCCCCCCCCCCGCTGGTTGCGCCACTGTGTATATCGTATTTGGTGCTTGTACAGTACTGTTTTCCTGCTGTTTTAAAACATACAACAAGTGATCAGGTTAAAATCAGACGCGATCGACTTCTCGAGACGTGGCGATCGACGTCTGGGCCACCCCTGTTATATATCATAAGCACTTCGTAATGGATGCATTTCGTGCAGGGCAAATATTATTCACATTCTACATAAATATAAGTTAGTACATTTATCAATACAGCCCAAATATTGATTGCAAATTTATGCACCGCATGAGGGCTTCTCGTGTAATGTTACAAGTGGTTACCATGGGACTCGAACATCCTACCAAATGTAATGCATGGCCTTTAGAATCCGAGAATTTGGCTAAAACGTCATTTACAGGGTTGATCTGCTAAGCCGATGACTACCATTTAACATTGCCTACAATTCTGGTTATTACACTCCGAGTAACCTGCATCCCAACATCCCAACTGTGTTCCACGAGCGTCTTTCGAGTGTTTCGTGGAAAAGGGATCAAAATTACGACTAAATTGGTCGCCATGGCGAATTCGGGAACGTAGAGTTGTCGCTCAGCTTGCGACCATTCAATATCGCGTGACTGCCGGGCTGAGGCGGACTAACTTTTCGAGGGTATAGTGGTATTTTCGTTAACAGTCGGCCTGGTAACGGAACTTTAGTGTACGGGGATTTGCTTGTCTGCTAGGAATGCTTTCCGAATTCCTCAGAAATATTGAATTACGCTATTAAAATTGGAGGTCAGAAGATTTCAATTGATACTCCCGGGAGTTTAAACCATGATTCCTGCTTTAACTCTATTATAAATGAAAACATATTATAAATATTTATATTCGCCAACGAGAAACTATTTTAAAGCGATACTTCCAACAATGCGTCAGAATATTGAGACCAGAACAAAAGGTGCTAACGATCAAGAAAGTACGGTAGTCATTTAGCCGTTCAGTCGCAAATTAAACAGAAATAACGCAACCAAATAGAGTACACAACTGTAGTGAGAATTTGTTCTCCAAAAGCCAAGAAATAGCATGCTGGCGACCAATGGAATATAATGGCTAGATTTAAATAGATGAATTTCAAATATTAATCATCAGTTTAAAAGTAACTAAATCCTAAAATAAATAGGTCAAATTAGTGCGCTTCGTAACTCGGCTATATGATTCGGCCGTTGATCTTCGTCGTTTCTCTGTGGTTGCCCGGTAGTAGTAGTAGTAGACTCTTTAGACACCTTGGAATTGACTCGGCCGTGGATCTCCGTCATTTCTCAGCGGTTGCTCCTCGGTTGTACGTCCTAGGACGATACTTTAAGATCTTCCAGACCCAGCACAGGACCTTCCAAAATTGGTCGTGAATGGAACTCGATAACGATGACGCCTTCTTCCAGCAGTCGGGTGGGACTCGTAGTGACGACTTGAGAGTTGAGACGTGTCTAGGAGAGCCTTGGTTGGAGTGACGTGAGGATCGATGTTTCTTAGTGCCTTTTCGCCCTTTCACGAAATCCGGAAATTTCTTGCAGATACTTTCCCTCAGGTGTTTTTCGGCCATGCTCCTGATTCCCGCCATGAAGAAGGAAGACCTCGTATAAGCAAAAAATATTGCTATGATCAATCCGATCAATACTATATTAGCTAAAAATTTATTTCCAATACCACTGGAAATGATATAATAATACCAGTAATATGATTACCTAATATTTTCAGGGGCTACTTCGGCATTCCCGATTTATAATTCGCTATGAATAAGGCGTTTGCAGCCCCGAAATCGCAAAGGAAAGACACGCAAATAACAGCCACACACAGTCAATAGAGTCTTCATACTTAGGTTTCCTGCTATGCTTCTTCTTGCAAATTCTTGTATTTTATGTTAGTATTGAGGGCTTTCTACGATGTACCGCCCTTGAATAGACACCCCCAGACAATAATAAAGAATTCAGGACCATAAGATCCGAGTGGTCTTTTAAATATGCACTTGTGGTACTCCACAGTGGCTTAGTGCCTGGGTGCTGGGGGCAAATATATACATGAAGAATAAATAGAAATAGAAAAGAAGTCAATATGAAGCAAACAACATTCTGGTGTATACTAAAAGATCGTTAAACCAAAAGTAACTGATATATATCCAGTTTAAAATCACATAAGATAAGATCACATAAGAAGCACTAATATTATAAGAGGAGGATGAAAACAAGTACCGTACCATAAAAGTTGAGATGCAGAACTTATGCATTTAAGTTGAGATAGATAAGCTCAAAACGCGGAAAAGTACAAGTTGTTGCCTATGCATCAAGAAGTCTTGATGATTGAATTTTTGACTTGAATTTTTTACTATCAAATCGAACGTAAAGCACTGTCTGTTCGATGAGAAACATTTTCATTTTTATCTATACGGAGTAAAATTCAATATTATTACTGACCACAGACTTCTGTTTAGTAGATTTTCAAATGTCACTGGAAGTTCTAATATTGGTGGAAGCCTAATTCAAGGTGATGGAACCTGACTCAATGGTGGAAGACTACATGAAAAACTGTCCAGCTCGTGTCGCTGTTACAAAAGATGAAAGATTGCAATTTATACAAATGAGTGAATTGCCAAGAGCTGTTTGAAAATCTCTTGGTGCTGATTTCTGTGGACCGTTTACACGCGATAATTATCTTTTAGCAGTTATTGACATTTGACAATTAGCCTACTCGAGTTTTCCTGTATTTAAACTCGTAGAATCCATAGACCATTCTAAAACTAATCTATTGGGCAGACTTGTGTTGTATTCCTAATTACTTTATTTCAATATATATTCTGTGAGCAATTGAAGAATGTGCTAAATGAATCTAAAACAGTGTTCTTCAACAGGGGTTCCGCAATACATGCAGGGGGTTCCGTGAGTTTATAGGGTTCTTCAGGGGTTCCGCGTTTTTATTTTTTCAGGGAAAATCATTTCTTGCTTCAGCATGTTGATGCGTCATTATAAATATTATTCTTAGACCACCGTGTCTCATTCAAACTCCAAGTAGGCCAATTCGTTAAACAGGAGGTTTAGGCACAGTGCAGTTAATAGACAAAACAGAAATATTTTCGGTTGTTGTGTCACTTTAGTCATTTTTATGCAACTATCAAGAACGCTATTGTTGCACTATAGTTACATGATGTTCAAAGTATGTAGATATTGCTCGAGACTAGGCCTATATACTACAAAATAGAGTTGTTGTTCAGCTTTTGTTGGAATATAGTAAAAATAGTGTGAAACCCAACATCTTAATATTTAGTCAATACAGATGAAGCAAAATACTATATTTTCTTATGTGAGGCGAAATAATAATAACGGTGAAGGTCAGGCCGGCAATGAGCAAAGTAGATCAAGTGCAAAAGAGGCACCTGCTCCTCTTTCGAATCGAACCAAATGTAATTCAATTGCCAAAGTTAGAAAATGGGATAAAACATATTTGAAATACGGCTTTTTTGCCCGATGACCAGATTCTAAATGCAGCTCCACAGCCCCAATGTCTGATTTGCAGTAAGAGACTTTTTAATTCTGCACTAGCTCCAGCTAAATTATAAAGACACTTGGAAGCCAGTCATCCTTCGTATATGACAAAGACTATATCATACTTTAAACTTGTGAAAAGCGGCGAATACCAGCAAAAAGATTCTTTCTTAAGAGCAGTTAATACTGATCAAGATTTGTTAGTGACTTCATATCGACTTATATGAACAAATATCCACCTATTTGTGTGAATCAGCGTTTTCTGCTTTAACAACTATGAAAAACCAAAAAAATAAGTTGTTTAAAGAGTGTAGACATGAGTATGAGAATTACATTGAGCGCCGTGGAGCCACGATTCAAGAAGATTGCAAAGAAAATGCAAAAACAACCTAGTCACTAAATTTCACGCTTGGAACCTTCTTTCTGTTTCGTTGTTGAAGTAGAAATATTTGAATTATAAATATTTTGTGTTACGAGTGTTTCGTGTTTTGTTTTTTAATTTTGTTAATTGGGGTTCTATGAAAAACGAAAAATTATATCAGGGGTTCCACAATAACTAAAGGCTTGAAGAGCAATGATCTAAACCCAAATATTACAGCATAGGCGTACCACACCGTGTCCACATATTCGATCATCGCTCTCTTGTTTACAAAAACATAAAATAAGGAGACCGTCTGTAGAAAAAGATTGCCCACCCCCGGTTTAGACCACTAGTTTTCGAACTATTTTGTATCGTCGACCAAAAAACCCTGATGGTTAATTATGCGTTGGTAAATACCGATTGACGCCGGACAGGACAGGAAGCTGATCCCACATAACTGAAGTTCTTGAAAAGAACTTTCGACTGTAAATTTATGTCACGCTGACTGTATAAGGATGCGAGCTCGCAGCGAATCGAGTATAAACGGCAGAATACCTTTTTGAAGCGATAAGTTGCAAAACTTCAGAAGAACAAACCCCGTTATAATACTTGTAAAATAAACGTGGCGATGCAACATTAATGTTATACATACGACAGCAAAATGTGGCGATTTGTGTCTCTACATTATACTGTCTGCATTGCACAAGAATATAACGGTTATGATATGGTCCACCTTAATGTTGTCACTGATCATTGATCTTTACTTATGATATAGCATACGCCTACACAATTATTAAAGAACGTAGGCATTGTCCATGAGAAATATCCTAGGCTATGTGTAAGACTTTTTGTGACAATAACATGTATTCACTGCAGAAAATCAAACCAATGTTTCGTGTACTCAAACTCAAAGGGACCGTTTGAAGCATTAATTAAATATTCGCCATGCCTCCGATTTGAGTTCACTAACACGGTGAGTGAAATATGCAAGTATTCTCTATGACTCATGAGTAAATGAGAATGTGTCAATCTTCTGTTACAGCAGAAGGCAATTATTGCGAACAAGCTGTCAATCAACGTCTTGCGTGATTGGCAGAGGACAGAACGCATTCTGCATTTCGTCATACTTCCGTTTCAGAATACTATAAGGTTTGTCGAAGTCGGTATTTTGTAAATACTGCGATTTCGGGACACTATGAAGTCAGTACGAAAGTAATCAGTAGTGGAATATTATCCATAGCCTCTGGACAATACTATGAGTACAGAAAAATCAAACGATACCGTCAATCATTCTGCTGCGTTCCGAGACACCGGTGTGAACGTTAATCATGACTTTGAAGCGGAGAGGATAGCAATAAGAACTATAACGGCAATCGTGTCTGCACTCTCACTTTATCTGGCACTGTGTCAGATTGTACTTTGGTTTCGAGGAGAATGCTTTCGGTGCAAAAAGTCGGAAAACCACACGCATGCATCTTCAATTCAATTTCTTTGCGTATTTGCCGCGGTTATGACATTTTTGCGAGTTGGAATACCCTTGGAGGAAATGTTGCAGAACGAAAACACTACAGACTGTTTCATAGCATTTGAATTTCGAGTCATTACCTATGGGCTTGCACTGTCTTCGCTATATATTATATTATGGATGCGCCAAAGAGTTTTTTACTGGTCTCCTGCACTAAGCGATTTAACGTCGCCGATTGTCCGCTTTCTCAGCTTCTCGATGCCTGTTATAATATCTCTAGGTTGTATTGGAACTATCATTCTGGTGAACATCACAGAAAAATCTGTCGGAACAAGACTTGGATGCGCTGTCGTAAAAAATCCGTTTAATCGATTGTCATGGATTTTCAAAGGAGTTGCATTTTGCATAATGCAAGGTATTTTATTGTCCTTGCTTATATACCCATTATTGAAGCACAGGAAAGCAATGAGAGCAACAGTCTCGAATGAGACGACTCAGATTGATTTCTTGATTAAACGTGTACTAATCACTACCGTGATTTGTGTTTGCGCAGATACAATCACCAATCTCGTTGGATTTGCATACAGAAGAGATTTAACATTAGTGCATCATTTTATTTATGACATTAACATAAATATAGACTTGGTAGCTGTCCTCTGTTCATTCAAAGACTGGCGAGAGAAACTCTTTCCATGGGGCAGCATATCATGCATACGAGAGTCCCAAAACAATGGAAACAGCGTTTAAATGACTAAAATGTTTCAAGAATCAGGCAGACATCGTAAAAGCCTGTTTTTTTTTTTATTTCACACGAAGTGTTTTTATAACACCACCTGAAAATTAAGACTGTGAAAGGTTATCGAACCACCGTAATGATCTAGTAAATGTTGTATAATTGCAATAGTTACTGTATTATGTATTTATTACTTTACTGCAACTAATTTGCTCAATTTCAAAACACTTTTATGACAAATGTTTATTACTGTACTTATTGTCCTCTGTCTAATCAGTAAATAAGTTCACATTCGAATTCTGAAGTTGAAACAATGCCCTGAGCAATGATACATGTTATTTATGTGTTCAAAAGCAAATGAAACATAATCTATGAACGGGATATTTTGTTGACTTACTTCCCAATGTTTGAAACAATCTGTCTTGAAGTGGTTCTGTTGCTGTTTTCATATCCTCACCTGAAAAAGAGAATAAATAAGGTTATTGAACTATTCCAACAACCAGTACAATATAAATATTGTATACTTGTGATATTTCACATATTATGTAATTATTGTATTACAAATGTTATCAATTTCTCATAACTGTCTCTTTCTGTGACTGAATATACATTTTGTTTTGCTTTTCCATTATTTGTTTCAGTGAAGTTCACTTTTGAACTCTTTATTTCAAACATTGTCCAGAACAATGACATATTCGTTTATATGTTTAAGACTTTAAGAGCAACTGACATTTACACGTATCAGCATTTCTGGCCTTTGTTTACCTGGTTAATCGAGAATACCCTACGGGTTATCTGGTGGTATAAGGTTTACATACATGGTGGGTTAGAAGGCCATCTCGTATAACCTTTGTGTTCAGTGGATGAATTTGGTGGTTCAGCTGCCAAAGCTACTCTCACGCCAATGATAACAGAGTTATGAAAACTCAACTCCCGAGCTTACTGATTAAATTAGATATTGAATCTTGGGTGTCGCTGCTCGAGAACCAGTTTTGGTTCCCCGCGGCTTCCACCTAGAGATGTACCGATACCCCTTTTGTCGCCGATACCGATCCGATACCAGCTAAAAAACGGCGATACCGATATGCCGATGCTACAAAAAGGCCGATATTCCGATACCGATACTATGTAATTATTACTTAATTAGGTGTGCTGTGTAGGGCAGACGGGTTAAAACAATGGTCTTTGAGCGTTGTTCATAGTACACATTATTTCAGATCGAAAAAAAAAGATATATCACATAATATGAAATTAATGTTTGGTGTTTGCTTCAACTGATTAAGATACATTGTACAGTAACGCTAGTAATCTCGGTGTTCAATTAGAAAACTCATAAGCCCGGATGTCCAATTTGAACTTAATATGAATATCGCGACCTTCGAATATCGTTATTCGTGTTTAAAAGAATATCGAATATCACCCACACATTCTAGCGCCGCCGTCCTACATTCAAATCAAAAGCATTTTACAAATATTTTATTTCGTGGCTAATCGTAATCGTCGACGCAATAAGTCAAAGCCAAAATGAAAGGATATCAATTAGCACCGACAAAAAGAAGGACTACCTTTAACCGTCGAGGATGTTTTTTTTACTTTACTATTTTATAATATAAAATATTTTACAATTGCTATCATATATTTTGAATTTCGGAATTTAGTTTATCGATGTCGACGGACTAAATGATACTCGTGACTTGACGACAAACAGTCAGAATTTATACCCGTGCCAAAAGTCCATGTGCCGTTAATAAGGAACCCAATTCCACTGTATGATTTGAAACTGGGCGCCTAGTTGCTTTTTGTTATGTGCTGTGTTAATATATTTCTTCATAATTACTATGTAATATTAAAAATGTCAATATCAAAATTTGAAAGCGAAAATAGCCAAATTAGTTGAGCTAGTTTGGTTGATGAATAGCTAAAAACACGTGAATCCTATTCTCTCGCGGGGGTGGGGACATGTATGGCTAATAGCTCACGATCTCTCCAGACAAAAAATTAATTAAAAAGTAGTATTCAAAGTTATCTCTTAAAACATTTTGGACCATATCAAAAAGATTAATATATCGGAAATATCGGCCTTAAATTAACCGATACCGATACATGGCCGATACCGAAAAAATGACCGATATTGCCGATACCGATACCGATACATCGGTACATCTCTACTTCCACCACGATGCATATCTTACACAATCCACTCTAATCAGAGAGTTTGGCGTAAACTAACCAACTGCAAAATGTGTCCTCCTCATTTTGGAGAAATTTGCCACGACTTTGTCTAACGGTATTCAGAATAGTCACGTTTTTCGGACCATCCGAAGTTAGAAATCTGTATCTCACAGCATCGGTAAGCGGTGTGTGTTTCTCGAGGACAAATTCAAGATCGTTTAGTATACCCTCATTAAATATCGGTTGATCATCAGAAATAGAAGTGCTAAGCGAAACCGAGTAGAGATTACTGATTCTTCTAAGGGAATCAATATTGAGTAACTAACCGGAAGCGCACTCAGCAGCCTGTGCCAAAACTGCCCATAAAACAAATGTGTGGGTAGTTGTGACGTGTCAATGCGTGGTAACAAGCCTGCGTGACGAGTCAGAACTGTCACCTAACCGTAAATGCTACAAAACCGGTTGATTCAAAAATGAAAATTGAGTATATGTCGTTTATATCCAGAAATAAATCCGTGACTTCCTTTAAGATTTATCAAATGACTGTGTGCGTGCCCGAGACATCGTTCTAGTTGTTCTGTTTATAAAACCTTACACATAAAAAAACTGACAAACTACACATAAAATCCAGAGCAAAGCCGCTCGCCTGATTTTCAAAGATATAGAACCTTCTTCGACCTTTGAAACGACGACGACGCAAACCGAGGACGTGGTGCAGCGGCATTCAAGCGTAGCGAAGTGCCTTGAGCAAACTACAGATAAATTTTCAGTACAAACATGATATATGCCAGGGATGGCAAACCTTTTTCAATGAATGGGTCAAAAATTATATTTTTATCGCGGAACAGAAGAGAGTGGGTCAGCACAGACAGATATTTAATTAATGTTTGTATCTATAAGAAACTTCTGAAACAAATCATGATACAGCGCTTGTTAATGTTGATGTTGGTGTAATTTAGTGGTTGTTAATGTTGGTGTAGTTTAGGGCTTTACTTATACAGCACTTGTATCATGGACTTTTTATGGCACTCGAATTTATGAAATTAGAGTACGCATATGAATTACGTTTAGGATGATGCGGCAAATTATTTCAATGTTCCAAAGAGTTTGGAGGGAATTCCACTCTGATAGTGTTATATTTTTCTATCAGCTTTAACCATATTAAAAGCAATTTTACACTGTCCCATTGTTATTTTAGATTTTTATTTCAAGTCTGAAAGATTTTGTATCATCAACAGCATTGTAGGCGAGAAACTAATAAAATGCAAAGTAGCATCTAGTTCTCGTATATCCCCTAAAACTGTCGGCAGATGCACTTCTGGAAGAAGACAAGACGTTGCGAGAAATGAACATCAATTGCATTGTTTTGTCATAAACGATGTCAGAGCCAATAGCTGAATAACGGCACGCAACGGTGCAGACATGCGTCCAAGATTATGGGTTTTGAAAATTAACATACCGAAAAATTAACAATTTGAATATAAGCGATCGCAGTCCTGACTGCCCAACTGACGGTACATTATAATAGTTTAGTTATTGTTAAATTAATTTGAGGCCGGTTTTATCACTGATATGTTAGCATTTTATTCGTGCCTTAGCGGGTCACGAATAAAACGCGGTGGGTCACTTTGTGGTTCGCCATCCCTGAATTATATACGATACGGTAATATACAATCGACTTGCTCGTTGCCAGTTGATTCACGTCAATGCCGCCTTCATTTTCATTTCGCCTGCGAGTTTCGCACACAGAGACCGCGCGGCATCCTTTCCTCGATCCGCCGCCGGGCCGCAACGCTCGTGCGCTGTAACACCCCCGCCGGAGCGAGGGCCACTTTTGTGCGACGGCAAACAGGTCGTGACCCACGCCGGTCGCTAGTGCGCTGAGTGGATGCGCGAGTCGACTCAGCAGCGGCGCCTCAAACGTCTGCAAACCGAGACGGCGCGCCCCGCGCCCAACTGAAAGCGATTGCTCGGACTCTCTCGACGCCTCTTCCGGCGACGCAGCACTCTCTCGCCCGCCGCCGAGGTTCCGTCCCGTTGAACGCCCTGCCGGCGACCGCGCTACAATCACGTGGAGGATTTCACATCGGGGCGCGAGCCAATGGGAATAAAAAACGTGGATAGGCGGGCGGCAGCGACGCCTCCTTTTCGGATTGCAAAATGAAACGTGGGATTCGTCGTGGTGGGATGAGTGACGGCTGGAATGCGAATATGATTAGACCTGGTCTGGAACGTGCAAAGGCCGATCTTGCACGCATGGGCTACGCACGGCAGACGGCCAGCTCGACTCCTCATCGAACCTTGCTTAAGCGCCGTCCGCCTGCCCCGCCCGGCGCTGTGAAAATAAGTTTGACGCCGCTGACGTGCCCGCCCGCTGGTGTTCTGGCACGTTTAAAAAATAAAACAAGTCTGACGCCGGTGTGACCTTTTCTTGAGCACCTCCCGCCCGCCGCAGTAAAAATAAGTCTGACATCACAATGACGCCGCCGACGTGCCCCGCCCGCTGGTGTACCGGCGCGTTAAAAAGATAAGACATTTCTGACGCCGCTGTGAAACTTGCTTGAGCGCCGCGCACCCGGTGGGGTGAAAATAAGTCCGACACTACGATAACGCCGCCCGCTAGTGTGCCGGCGCGATAAAAAAATAGGACAGGTCTGACGCCGCCGGCGCCGTGAAAAAATAAGACATGACCGACACCGCAATGACGCCGTCTGCCGGGTCGAGTCGAAAAAAGCAAGTCCCAATTGGACAAATCTTAGATCTGAAAAATGACTTTCAACACATCGCAGTGAGAAACTGCTCTAGTGGGTACGACATCCCTATCTTAAACTAGGTCGTCTGCAAATAATTTAGCACCTCGCCTTCTCAATGGCTGCCTCGACTCGACTTGCTAGCAATATGCTCGTTCGCGCCAAAGAGTCGAAACACTCGACTTCGCCGGCGGCCAGACGGCCGCTTAACTTCGCCTCGCCTGCGGCAAGACACCAGATTATCGTCGCTACTTAGGCGGGATTCTGACTTCAGAGGCGTTCAGTCATAATACCCCAGATGGTATCTTCGCACTATTGGCTTATCAGCCAAGCACATGAACCAAATATCTGAATCTGCAGTTCCTCTCGTACTGAGCAGAATTATTATCGCAACAAAACTATATAAGTGGGAAAAAATAACCTGTCTCTAGGGATGGCGGAATCGAGTCCGGATTCGAATACAGAATCGATTCTTCGCGGAATCGACTAGAATTGATTCCGATGCATTGACATCGATTCTCGGGGTTAAAACTTGTGTAAAGTTTTGTGGCAATTACTTCACATATATGTATAAACTGCTTCACTGCTATGTTGAGTTGCTACGACGACGCTAACTTCACTATTTATATTATTTCGATGGAAGGCTTTAACGTTTATTTATTTTAAAAATTTCTGTGGGTTCTGAGGGATTCGTTTTTTTTGTGCGATTTTGTCTCTTGGGACAGATTGAATACCCATACTACTTAGTTTCGGCCTTTTTGGCAGTCCAGAATTTGAACATCGTGCTCTTTTTTGATTTTATATAGTATTGCTTAGGTGGGTATG